ATCACAGAAGGTAATTCATATTTTAAGTAAATCTTAAATGTTGTATTTATAATTTATTCATTTAGATATATACAAGATTCATTGTCTTATTGCCAGAATCTTATCTTATATTTTAATTTTGTGCATTTTAATTCCGTAATTGAAGTTTGCTCTTTGCCTATAAAAGGGTGTGACTGCCTCTTGTAAAATTTGACTTAAGAAATAGTCTTATAGATGAGTAGAGATTTTATCTCTATCTTTTTTTTAAAAGTTTTGAGAATTCAATAAAAGTTTGTTTTTTTATTTTTATAAACACTTTTTTTTTACTGTCTTTTAATTTTTTTAGAGGTTTGAGAGTAGTGATATAAATAAAATAATATTCACTTACGTTTACTGTCTATTCATTGGGAGTCTTGAAAAATGTTTATAGTAGACGAACTAAGGTAGATATGGAAAAAAAAAATCTTAATAAGGTCAGTATGTGATAATTTTATAAATAATGAATTAAAAATGCTTCAGAACTCGAAATTGGCCTGAATCCAAAACAACATCGTTTTGGATTTTGTTTTGTTTTGTTTTTTTCCCTCCTTTATATTTGAAACAAAGGGAGAGATGAAGAGAGAGAAAGAGAAAGAGAGAGAGAGAGAGAGAGGATAAAGAGAAAAGATGGAGATGGGGAGGAGGAAGAGAAGAAGATGGTGATGGCGGAGGAGGAAGAGAAGGAAGATCAACGATGATGGCGGTATCTCTCTCTCTCTCTCTGCCAGTGGCGGCGCTGGTGGGTGTCGCCATCCAGATTTGCAGATCGCCAGTGGGTCTCTCGCCTCTTTCAGATTCTACAATTTTTTTTTTACAATATATATATATATATATATATTTTGTGTGGTGATTGTTGGTTGTTGTTGATGATGATGTGTGTTGTTGTTGTTGATGATCGCCTCTTTCAGACTTTGTTTTCTCTCTATTTTTTTTCTCTCTAGTGGATCTAGATCTAAAGATAAAGGAAAAAGAAAGAAAAAAAAAATTGTTGATGATTGTTGGTTGTTGTTGATGATGATGTTGTGTTGTTGAATTCAGATTCCACGATTTAATTTAATTTTTTTTTGTGTGAATGTGTTGTTGTTGTTGATGATGATGTGTTGTTGTTGATGTTGATGCTCTCAAGCACAGCACAAGCACAGATCATGTTTTATTTTTATTTTTTTGATTTTTTCTCTCTTTCTCTTTTTTTTTTTTTTTTTTTTTTTTTTGAGTTATGGAAGAAGAAAAGAAAATTTTTTTTTTTATTCTGAGTTATGGAAGAAGCAAAGAAAAGAAAGAAAAAAAACGGAGGAAGAACAGATAGAGGAGACAGAGGAAGAAGAAAAGAAAAAAAGAAAAAAAAAATCCAAAACTACGTCATTTCGGTTTCGGGCCAATTTCGAGCTCGGAAAATTCGAGCTACATAGCGGAACTGATAAATAATATTTGAAGTCTTAGTTTGCAAATGATATAATTATAATTTTGTTTTGTAATATTATAGTAAGAGTAAATTACACTTTATCCTTTTTATATTTGACTATTTTCTGACTTTGGCTCTTGAAATTTTTTCTCCACTTCAACGTTTAATTTTCAAGTTTTCACAGTTTTCTCTTAAAGTTAACTTTTGCGCAAAAGTATATAGAAAATATCACGTTAATTGTCACATAACATAAATATATATTCGAATTTGTGTTATATGTATTAGAGCATCTCCAACAGTGCATCAATTTTTTTCACCAAATTTGAGTAAAAACTTTCTTTGATATCAAGTGCTGCAACAGAGAATTTTGGAGTTTATCAAACCACCGATTGAGTAGGCGGACAACTGGCCAGTGTAATTTTTTCACAACTTTTTGCCTTCAGGTGCTCATCTAAGGGATGACTGGGAGGAGAAGGACATCCGACAATGGCAATAAACAGTAATTTGATAAAAGCCACATTGGTCCTCAGTTTGATGAAAAAAAAGTGAAATTCTCGATTTGATACCTATTTCATGAAACCGTTAGAGTAGGAAAATGAGTAATTTTTCATCAAATTCAAATTTGATAAAAAATTTGAGTAATCATTAGAGATGGTCTTAATTATATATAATGAAATATTTTTATGATATGTAATTGTTAATATGTCATTTAAGTTAATTTTTTGAAAACAAGTTAAAATATGAAAAATCAAAATAAATAAAATAAATTTTAAGAGTCAAAATACAAAAGAAAAAGTAAAAAAAGACACAAAATATGTTTTACCTAATAATAGTAATAAGTGGTCCCTTCAGTCATATTTTCGGTCAATTTCTCTGTGTTTATAGCAGTACTCCCTGATGAAAAAAAAATATTATGCAAAACTTTTAAGGGTTGGTTTGGCAAGGGCTCATTGGGCTTTTTTGGCTCAATGAGCCATAAAGGACAGAATAGGCTTATGAGCCACAACAGACAAAACATCCCATTCAACCCCATAATCATTACACTCTTCTCTTACAAAAAAATCAAAAAAGCCAAAAAGCCAAAAGCCCTTCCCAAACTAAGCTTTTGAGCCCATGCTCATATAGTCAAAAAAGTCAAAAAACCAAAAGCCAACCCACTTCCCAAACTTTTTTGAAGTTGATAATATCAATTTGAGAAAACGTTTGAGTTTAGGCCATCTTTAATGGTTCATCAAACCTTACATCAGATTTAAAATTTAGTAAAAAAATCACTTTTTGGAGCTCCAATGGTTTCAACAAATTAGTATTAAAATGATAATGGAGCAAAAAATTCATCAAAGTGAGAACAGGTTTCAGGTTTCACCATTTTAATGTACGTGACAGTTGGAGGAGACCAACCGATCAATCAGCCGGTTGACCGGTTCCTCAATTCTGGCCAACTTTGAATTTCTTGTTATTATTTGATACCTTCACTTTTCTTCTCATCTTTTAGCCTTCCTCCCCTGTTGGGTAGTTGGTTGTACTGGTATTGTGAGTGGCAAGCTCCGGGGATTTCATGGAAATTGATCTGAACCATGCCGTGATTGAGGTGGAGAAGAATGCATGTGGCAATGGTGACTGTGACAAGGGTGGTGGTGGTGGATGGGGTGGTGGTTGTTGTTTGTCTTCTTCAACTTCCTCATCCTCTTCAAATTCATCTTCCTCACGTGCTTCTTCTTCAATTTACAAGGAGCTTTGGCATGCCTGTGCTGGCCCTCTCAGCACTCTACCCAAGAAAGGGAATGTGGTTGTCTACTTCCCACAAGGTCACTTATTATTATTATTATTTAGTGAAGATAAGGCTTACAAGAATTGGGCACAGAAAGGGAGGAAAAAAAAAAAATTTATGGCCTTGCGACCTTCTCCCTTTTGATGCTCACCGTTGGAGCAAACCATATCAGTTTAGTAAAAAAATCACTTTTTGGAGCTCCAATGATTTCAGCAAATTAGTATTAAAATGATAATGGAGCAAAAAATTCATCAAAGTGAGAACAGGTTTCAGATTTCACCATTTTAATGTGCGTGACAGTTGGAGGAGACCAACCGATCAATCAGCCGATTGACCGACCGGTTGACCGGTTCCTCAATTCTGGCCAACTTTGAATTTCTTGTTATTATTTGATACCTTCACTTTTCTTCTCATCTTTTAGCCTTCCTCCCCTGTTGGGTAGTTGGTTTGTACTGGTATTGTGAGTGGCAAGCTCCGGGGATTTCATGGAAATTGATCTGAACCATGCCGTGATTGAGGTGGAGAAGAATGCATGTGGCAATGGTGACTGTGACATGGGTGGTGGTGGTGGATGAGGTGGTGGTTGTTATTTGTCTTCTTCAACTCCCTCATCCTCTTCAAATTCATCTTCTTCACTTGCTTCTTCTTCAATTCACATGGAGCTTTGGCATGCCTGTGCTGGCCCTCTCAGCACTCTGCCCAAGAAAGGGAATGTGGTTGTCTACTTCCCACAAGGTCACTTATTATTCTTATTATTTAGTGAAGATAAGGCTTACAAGAATTGGGCACAGAAAGGGAGGAAAAAAAAAAAATTTATGGCCTTGCGACCTTCTCCCTTTTGATGCTCACCGTTGGAGCAAATCATATCAGATTGAGAAAATTAGTTTTTTTTTTTACTCAAATTTGATGAAAAATTTGGTCCACCGTTAGAGATGCTCTTAGTAATTTTTTTTGAGATTGATTTCAGTAGTTTGAATTGTTTATTTTTTTTAAACTTGTTAGGTAGAATATCCATTTAAAAAAAATATATGATAATTAAATAATGATAACTATATATTTAAATTAAATTTGTATTACAAAAATTAAATAGTTATTTTTAAAATTATATTTGTTAGTCATTTTTTTTAAACAAATATAATTTAAATATATAATTATCGATATACAATTATCTTAATTTTTTACATAAATATTTTATCCAACGAATTCTAAAATAAGTAATTCATATCACCAAAATTAATTTTAAAACTATCTTATGAAACTTAAATAATCTCTTACTGTGTTTGGTTGGAAGATTTAAAAATAAATTTGAAAAGTAAAAATAAAAAAATAAATAAAACGAAATAAAATATAAGTATTTTTATTCACATTTTACTTTTTATTTTTTATTTTTTTCTAAGGCCTCGTTTGGCAAGTGTTTATTTTAATCTAAAAGTCAAAAAGTTATTAAAAAAAACCAAAAAATTTATAACTATACTAAAAAGTCAAAGATTCTAATTTCTCTTAACTTTTTACATATTTTTTCATAAAAAATAAAAAATTTATTTTAAATTTATTAATTTTTTACCTCATATTTTAATTAAAAAAATTAAAAAATTATTAAAATAGTATGTATCAAACGATTCCTACATTTCTTAACCATTTCTTAACCAAACAGCGTTACAGATGACAAGTACCAAATTTTTGTGAAAACCGCTTTCCGAACCGCGGTTGGACCGTCAAATTGGTCAAACCGGTGTGAGGGTTTCATTGATTGGGATTGGGGCTTAGACTGATTCTGTCACTTCTCTCATATGTCTATGCTCTGTCTGTCGACTCTCATTCGACACTCACACAAGTCTCTCTTACTGTGACTAAGACAGCCGAAACCCCAAGACTATTATCAGTCCTTCTCCGGAAATTCATTTTCTGTAAGTGTTCAATTCTTTGATCTATTTAATGATAGTCATAGATATGTTTTCATCTCATATATTTGTTATTTTTGATGACCCATTTTGCTCAAATCGTTTTTGGGTACCTGCTGGTTTTTGTTTTTATTTTAACTGTTCACATGTTACTGATTAAAGTTGGGTTTTGTAAGTGAATATTATATCTGTACGGACCCTACCACAACGAAAACAGAGGGAAACATGTATGTCATTTTTGTAGGTAATATGTATCAATAATATATATAAGGTATAATAGTCTAACAAAAAATATAAATCAAGAAAAAATATAAAAATATAAACACATGGCGGTGCAGAAGAATCACTCAGCCCACCAGCGCGTGTTGGAGTTGAGGAAAACAGCTCAGGCTGCCGTTGCTGTTGCTGATGCTGAAGCCAAGGCTGCCGAGCTAAAAGATCTCAAGGCAAAGCTGGCCGAGCTGAGTGCCGACCGAGATCAATTAGCCGAGCTAGTCAATGCAGCGGAGGCGGACAAACAAAAAGCTTTGGCTGAAAAAAAAAGATCGGTCACATGTTGGTCGTTGTTGATAAAGAAATCCAACGAATAAGATGATCAGCTCTACCTTACGATCGCTATCTACAAGACAAAACACCCCCAGTTGTAGCCGGGGGCCATCCGACGCCTAAGTCAGTCCTCCAATATTATTAAAATATTTAATCGACTAATTCATAGAGAGAAATTGCGTACCTCAACCATGAGGGTATTGCCTATTCATAATATCCAGTGACTTACTTATCAAGTAGTTTGAATGTTCCAAAAGTCCCATCCCAAACAATCTCCGGTTGTTCAGGACTTCTATATCGATAAGATTTCATATCTTGATGAGTTTTGCACAATATAAACATACTAATGCAGTGTTTGATAAGAATTTGACAACTGTCATATATGTAATAATCCATAACCATGCCACGTAGCAATGCCTAGACCCTCACAAGTCTTGTGGTTATTTTTATTCCCTCTCAATTGCCCCCAAGCTTTCATTCTCTCTGAACTCAGTGAAAGAGTGGAAACTTTCTATTGTTCTGATAAAAATAGTCGTGTAATAATGCCCAACAAGGTTTTGAAAAGCGGTTGCGGTTGCCGTAACGGTGGCGGTGGAGCGGGAGCGGTTGCGGGGTGTAAAGGCCGTAGCGTAACGGTTGCGGTAACCGGAACCGTGAATTTTTTTATTTTTCGCACAATTTGAAATTTTTTTACCGATACGCATATTTTTTTTCCATAATCATTTTTATTAGGTTTTAAAATAAATATTGATCAATTTTTTGTAAATTTTTAAGTATGATCTAATATATTTCATATTTTTAAATTACTATAAGCTAAGTTTTTTTACATTTTATTTTAATAATTAATGACTTTATATGTCACAAATCCATATTACGCTTGTGGCCAAAAAAATAATTATTGGACTTAGATGTATAAATTTATTTTTTTAATTATTATACTTGTGGAAGCATATAGTTTTAAAAAAAAAAAATTATACATGCTAATGTAATCATATAAAAATTATAAAGAATTTTTTTTTTTTGGTTTGGATCACTTGAATATTCATTCTCTTTTTGGATAACCTGTAAATAAAAATAAAATAAACTAATCAAAAAAAATTGACATATATAAAATATGTATTAATATATAATTATAGGTGTTATGTTTTCTAGATATTTTACCCAAAAAAATAATCACTAACTATTATAATATGAAGATAAATAATGATAAAAGTAAGAGAATAAATAACAAAATAAATATATATATTATATATATATATTTTTAATCAACAATATACATATGACACACTTATATTATGATGTATTATTATTATCAAACAATATATAGATAGACGCACACAAACAAAATGGTTGAGTAATAGCAGCTGAATAAAATAGCATAGGTTTTATAGCTTCAACAAATCAATAACATGTTCTTTTTTTTCCCTCTCTCTCTTGCTTCTCCATCTTCCCTCTTCATCATCCCTCTTTTCCCATTTTCATTTTTTTTTTTTTGAGTTTTTTTGAAAGAAGCAGTTCGAAACTGTTACGTAACAATGCGCAATAGGCCGGTACGGCCGTTATAGCACCGTTATGACTGTTACGGCCGACACACCTGTGAATCTCAATCACACCGCAAAAGCAGCTGTAACGGGTGGCGGTAACCACCACAACTGTTACGTAACGGCGTTACGTAACGGTTGCAGCTGCTTTTTAAAACCTTGATGCCTAACTAAAACTATACATGGGTGCTAGGGCTTATTCCAAAATGCATAACCTTATTAGGACTTATTTCGAAAATGCCTAGCCTTGCTAGGATTTATTCCAAGAATGCCTAACCTCGTTAGGATTTATTCTGAAAACGCCTAACCTTGTTAGGATTTATTCCAAGAATGCCTAACCTTGTTAGGACTTATTCCGAAATGCCTTGTTAGGACTTATTCCAAGAATGTATAACCTCGTTAGGACTTATTGCGAAAATGCCTAACCTTATTAGAACTTATTCCAAAAATGCCTAATCTCGTTAGGAACTACCAAAACACCAGCAAAATCAGCTCAGCAAGGAATCCTACTACTGGACAAACCACCAACCTACTCTGCAATGATTTTCAAAGTTAGTTAAACATGCAAACTCCCTTCGACAAGCAAAACCCGCTCGATAAAGATTTTCTAAGTTGGTCAAACTTGCCAACCTACTTTGTTGAGCAAAACTCGTTCGATAGCCCCGTCTTTTTGCCTTCAACGTATATATCCTGTACACTCGAATGGTTTCAGCCACTGTTCATCCTATTCGTTCGCAAACCCTAAACCCAGTGCTCCATTTCTTTTTCCCATCGAAGCACAATCCAATACCTTCGAGTTCGCAATCGTACAAGGAGGTGTTCTTTCTGTGTCTTGTCGAGTAGACTAACTCGGTTTACACTATCCCTGCCAACCTTTTTTGGTCAAGATAACCATCTCGGTTCAAGAGTTCAAAAATTTGTTGGTCAAGCCTGCCAACCAGCATTGGCCGAGATAACCATCTCAGTCAAATAGTTCGAAATAGTTTGTCAAACCTACCAACTTTTCTTGGTTGAGATAACTGTCATCTCGAGGTAAAGAGTTCAAAAAATTATTGGTCAAACCTGCTAACTTGCTTTGGCCGAGATAACCATCTCGATCAAAGAGTGCAAAAAGTGGTTGGTTTATTTCGGCCAAAGAGTGCAAAAAGTTATTGATCAACCTACCAACCTTCTTTGGCCGAGGTAACCATCTCGGTCAAAGAGTAAAAAAATTTTGTTGGTCCAACCTTCCAAACTGTTTTGGCCGAGATAACCATCTCGGTCAAAGAGTGCATAAAGTTGTTGGTCAAACATGCCAACCTTTTTTAACCGAGGTAATCATCTCAGTCAAAGATTGCAAAAATTTGTTGGTCAAACCTGCTAACTTTCTTTGGCCGAGGTAACCATCTTGGTCAATGAGTGCAAAAATTTGTTGGTCAAACCTGTCAACCCACTTTGCCCTTAGTTGTGCAAAGATTTCTAGAAAGAGTTGGTCAAACCTGCCAATCCACTTTGCCCCCAGTCATGCAAAGATTTGTTAGAAAGAGTTGGTTAAACTTGCCAACCTTTTTTGGCCAAGGTAATCATCTTAGCATTTTTTACCCAAATAATTTATTCTTGTATATTCTAAATCCAGCAACATATCTGACCAATTTACACGCTCGGTATATAAAAAATTCTTTGTGGTCGGAGTAATGATACATAAAATCCATGCTCCATAGATAACCAAAATTCGGCACAATACATAATAAAATATCTTCTAGAAAAGCTTGTGATTACTTAACATTGAGTAAAACACACTAGAGATCTTCCACGTTGCCGTTGTTACGGGCACCATTTGGTAAAGAAAAAGTGATTTGCATGATCATGTTTCCAAGATTGAGAAACAATTGGCGGGAGATACCCAATTCAAGAATATTTCATAATAGAATGAATACAACTTCGAAGAGTGCAATCATGCACACCCAATAGCTGTGTAGAGAAAAACAAACGAGGATCATCTCTTCTAGTACTACATGGGATATAATAATTTATAAATATAATCTTCCTCGTTGGACTCAATCGTTTCCACAGACGGCGCCAATTATACGAACATAAAAAAATACCGTATTTGATGATAAAGAAATCCAACAAAGAAGATGATCAGCACCACTTCGCGATCGCTATCTACAAGACAAAACACCTTCAGCCGTAGCTGGGGGCCCTCTGATGCCCAAGTCAGTCTTCCATTATTATCAAAATATTTAATGGACTAATTCATAGAAAGAAATTGCATACCTCAACCCATGAGGGTATTGCCTATTTATAATATCCAGTGACTTACTTATCAAGTAGTTTGAATGTTCCAGAAGTCTTATCCCAAACAATCTCCGGTTATTCAGGACTTCTATATTGATAAGATTTCATATCCTAATGAGTTTTGCACAACATAAACACACTAATGTAGTGTTTGATAAGAATTTGACAATTGTCATACATGTGAAAATCCATAACCATGCCACGTAGCAATGCCTAGACCCACACAATTCTTGTAGTTATTTTTATTCCCTCTCAATATCACTAAATATATATTATGTCATGCCCATTTGATTTCTTTGTTGTTGTGGCCTACAGTGTTTTTTTCTTTTTCTGTTGGGTAGGTTAGGTTAGGAGTAGTGAATGTTTGGATCATTTTATAGGTTTTGAAGAGGGTAAAATAAATTAGAGCAAGACTAGGCCAGGTCGAGCTACTGTACCTGGTAGAACCATTGACCCACTCCAAAGTGGACTGAACAAGTTGGACCAAGCCTAATAATGGGGCCAGCCCAAGGTGGGCCGAACAACAAATTGACCCAGTGCCAGACCTGCAGCCCCGAGGTGAGATGAACAAGGGGTTGGCCCCTATGAAGCATGGATACTCTAAAAAAGTTGTGTATGTACGAACGAGTATCAGATTTAGATATGTGTCTGATACGGCAGGATAGTATTGGATACAATAAATAATATCTGATTTATTTTTTAGTTTTTTTCTAATTTTGGATACAGGAGGGATACTCGAAAGACAGTCAGTATCCAATTTAATTTTTTTCTTATTTTTTATATTTTAATACGCCAAATAAGTATCTAATTTATTTATTTTTCTTATTTGTATTTATATTTTTTCAAAGGTCAACGCACTCTCCCTCTTTCTCCCTCCTTTCTATGCCTCTCCATATTTATAGGAGTTGCATTGTCATTATTTATTCCCTTGTGATATACCATTTTCTACTTTGTTGGCCTTGCTATAAGGGCCATTTACTCATGTGTTAAAAAATTACACTTTCTATTTTTTTTTAATTTCTTTCGATTGTTGTTTTATTTTATTTTTTAATTTTGGATATTATGACTTGGTGCTATTGTTAAAATTGCTTAATTTTGTTAGCTTTATTGTTGTTCTTTAAATTTTCTTGAATATTTGATCGAATCCTCTGTTACTATTTGTTGTTAATTCTTTGTCGGTATGGCTGGTTATTAATTGATTTCTCTTTTATGCAATCTTTGACGAACATAAAATTCTCTTTTTGATATTAAGGAATTTAGTACTAAATATTTATAAAAGTACTCTTGCATTATGTTTTATTTTATACATACTACATACTACATTATGAGAAATTATATATAAAAAATTATTTTACAAACATATTTGTGTTGTATTTAAAGTTTTCCTTTATCACTGTATCCATATTGTATCATACCTGTATCTTGTATCTGTATTGTATATGTATCCGTGCTTCCTAGGTTGGCTCAAAGCTAACCGGCCGCCTCGAGACGGGCCAAGTAAAAGTCAATCGGCCACCCCAAAATGGGCCGAGCAAGGGGTTGGCCCAAAGCCAACCGGTTGCCTTGAGGCAAGCCAAGCAAACTATGATACGACTCAAGTCTTGAGAGCCAAGTCTGGCTTCCCTTCTTATGCTAAGCTAAAGGACAATGTGGAGCCGAGTGAGGCCATGAAAGGTCAAGCCTTGCATCTAGCTTGAGTTCACAACGAGAGAACACATAATCCTAACCCTACACTCTTATCGATACAGCTTGCTTGTAGTGGCGGGGGGGGGGGGGGGGGGGGGATGTGTGGCATGCCTATTTGTAAGAAGGGGAAAACGGCATTACCGCCCAACGTATCGAAAGGAAAATCTAAGTCCTTTCGAAATGCAAAGTCTGCAGGACAGCTCAATCCTGAAGGAAATTCTAGTGAGATAATTTCCTTGAAGATGAAGGCTTCAAGCCCAAGCCCAAGCCCAAGCCGATGGATAACAAATTCAAGTCATGACTCTCATAAAGTCCTCGGATAGGAAAATCTCTCGGATAAGAGTCTCTCAGAGGACGATATCCTCAAAGAAACCCAACAGATGAGAAACACTTGCACATTATTATACGTGCTTCTCAAAAGGGTCAAAGACCTGAGGATAGATTCAGCTTTCCGAGGTTGCAGTGATTAAGTCTCCCTTGAAGATAGGAAGGCCGCCAAACGGTCCCTATTCAAAACCCGCATCCTACAAAGGAGCAGATACCCTGAAGCTCCCTAGATAGCTTTTTTGAAATTGAGCAATGCGACTCTCTCGAAGATAGGAAGGCCAGCCATTCGTCCCTATTCAAAACCCGCATCCTACAAAGGAGTTGCATACCGTGAGGCTCCTTGGATAGCTTTTCGAGATGTGGCAGGCAAGTCCTTCTCGAAGATAGAAAGGGTATCTGCTTCTGTAAGGGTATCCACCCCTATTCAAAACTGCTTCTGTAAATGGGTCCTACTATACCGAGGCCCCATGATAGCTTCCGAGAATGAGTGACATGACTATCTCAAAGATGGGAAGCATGATCAAGCCCCCGTTAATCATACAAATAAAACAATCATCTCCACCCAATGTCAAAACGGCAAGACTTGGGAAGTCTCTCAGATTTTAAACATCGAGGTAGATGTATAAGTCGATCTCAAGACTATACTCTGCTAGCTTTGTCGGGATGTAGGGAGAACCTGCGGTTTGGTGGCTAAAAGTAAGGGATCATCTAGGCATTTGTGAATCTCGCAAACTTCGGTTACTCTTGAAAACCACTCAAGGGGATTAACCCGAGGGGAAGAAGATTGCATTTGTCTTGACTGGATAGTACGAGAGAGGAATATTCCATGTGGTCCCTAAAGGCCACGTGGCAACATTATATACATTTTCTTGGCCCCCAAGCTGGACCTGAGTGCCTATAAATAAGCACCCATATTTCATAAACCCTAATTTTCAGGCTTGAGTGAGACTATTCACCAAGAGTGAGGGGTAGTGGTGCACAAGAATATTCTGCCATTCTCTCTCTACTCTATTTGCCTTGCTTTTCATCCCACAGTATCTCTCTCACCATCTCCGTCTTCATCTTCTTGTACCAATCATTCACCAGTTTCACCTCACCATTTCATTATCTTTCATTATTACATGATCTTCATTTGTACCCCTACACTATTCATTCAGTTAGCAACTCTATGGGCATTTTTGGAAAAAATCAAAATTGCATGACATAGCATTCAATAAGCTGTTCTGAGTTGTGTGTTCCATATAATAGAATATATAATAGGCACATGAATTTATATATGTAGGTGTGTGGTATGTTTCATTAGCCAAATTGTTGGCACGGCACAACTGTGACACAAATCTCTCGAAAGGTCATGGCTACAATATTGCCAATGGGCCATCATATATGTAATATTTTTTCCCCTGATTTGGAGCCTTATAAGGATTTGGCTTAAAACTTTTAAACTTTAATCTCAATGTAGTGTGTTCACTCTCATTGTTGTTCAGGATGGAAAGTGAAGAACACATATTGATGTCTGAATTGAACGAGAAGATTTTCCAGATATTTTCAGATTTTATGACAAGGTTAATCTCAAACCTTCATCACTATGCTAATGGTTTATCAATCAATTTGAAGAGTATACCTTGAGCTTTATTTTGCAAAATTACTATTTGATGTGGTATGTCTATTGAAGGAACCATATCTGACTTGGAGATTTAATTTTTTTGGTCTCTTGCTTATTTTTTCCCCCACCATTATCCTTTTCAAATGAAAGACATGTTTGGCCTAGGAGATTAAAGATCGATATGTGGGATCATAATTTTGTACAATGAGTAATGATATACAAACATAATTTGTATTAAAAAAACTCATACAAAATGATGTGTCTCATTTATAGCCATTCATTGGAACTCAAAATACCCATCACTTTGGTTCATAATTGCAAGAATACGGTTGCCACATCATTCTTGTCTTAAATTTTGTATGAAAATTATATCATTTTCCTTGTACAATTTTTCATTTCACGTTAGCATTGTAATGTCTTCAAACAATCTACCGGATGTCTTTAAATGTTTGCTGAAAGATATAAAAAACTGTCTATTAATTGAAACAACAAAAAGGCAAAATGCCAATTTTTGGATGCACAACCCATAGAAATTAGAGAATTGCCCCATAGTTGATGATATTGGCATACGAATACTTGCATTATGGATATCTTTAATTCCCTACTAGAAGTGAAGTGGATGAGTTTGAATGCTCAATCATTTAAAAAAGAAAAGAAAAAAAAAAAAAACTATACAGATGGCAGATTGTGCATACCAATCTGGCCTACCTTACAAAACTGTAATAGAAGTATGGGGCTTTTGATTATTACAAAATACCGAAGAGGATCTCAAGCCCAATGCTAAGTTTGCAAGCTTATTGGTTACTAGATTATGTTCTATACATGTATGAAAGCTGGGAAGCAGAAGCAATTAAAAAATACAATTGTGAAGTGCCATACAAAGCATTTTTTTTTTCCCTAAGATAGGCATGTGCAACTCAGAATCTTATTACTTGGATTATGAAAGTACCTGTGTGACGTTCCAAACCTTTTGAAGTTTTAAGCTTTACTTGAAGAACATTGCAATTATTTATTTGAAGGAATGAATAAATATGTATAGGCATTGTTGATGTAGCAATGTGATGGAAAATGGCCATTGAAACATGTCTTGCATGTACATCCCAATTTTTGGCATTAAAAAGTCTAGATACCTTGTTTCCTCATTACAATTGGAGTCAAAGGTAAAGTTTCACTAGGTACCTTTTTTCCTCATTACAATTGGAGTCAAGGGTAAAGTTTCACTAGCTTGACAGTGCATAATGAATCTTGACACTGCTTATGCATCTTATGTGATTTATATCATAGCACTTTTTGAAATGCTCTCATCTTCAATGTTGGGAAATTTTTTGTTTTTATTTGTCATCTAATACCTATCCTATAGGGTCATAAAATTCGAGGAGTTGGTTGCTGTGGGAAGTAGGTTACTTGTTGGCTTTCATCAACGGCTAGGTTAGTGGTTTTGGGTTCTTTAAATTAGTTGCTTCCGGCAGTGGGATTAAGTTTCTTTGCTTCTTTTAGTAAGCTCTGTCCCTATGTTTTCATACAGAGTTTATTCGACGTCCTCCAATTAACAAGACATCTGAGTTGATCGAGCGCATCTTTAGAGCTAATGAAACCAGGAGGGTCTTGACATATGTTGAAGCTGGATGTGTAAATGCTCATGACAGCATACAAAATATAAGCAACTGTAAGTGGATTTTCGCTCATTACTTTTCTAGAAACATTTAGAATGAATGAATATTTTTCTCTCCCAAATGAAATTAAATGTGATTTACTTTGCTGCATAATGAGAGGCCACAGACTCATGTATTCTTGCAATACTAGGCTCATTTCGCCCTAAATTCTTTGGCTCTGTTTGGATGAGTTTTTAGAATTTGTTTATGAAATATTGTCAAAGACTAATTTAGTGAAGAAAATGAATATTTTTTTTAAAAAAAAAAAAAACTCTTTATTTTCATATGATTTTCTCTTTTTTGGGATATAAGTAACTTTTGAAAAGAAAAAAATTGGTGTTTATTTTTGTCAAACTAGCTTCTTCTTTTTTTTAAATATTTTAAAAATTAAGTTTAAAAAACTTAACCAAACGGAGCCTTTGTCTCTAATTGAATCCCATTACAGGTGATGCAATGTTGTGATTATCACAATTGCCACATGTTGAAACAGTTTGGTCGATGTTAATGGTCTTTGCTGACTACCAGAAAAGATTTCTTTGGGTCTATTGGCTTTGAGCTCTTTCTCTGGTTTGTTTCAGCGGCAAGCTTATCTGCACACTGTATCTGTATTGGATTCAATTGGTACTAATGAAAAACTTTGGATTTATCTCTTTTTTGCTGCTATTGCATTGGTAGTCCATTGTGTTTTTAGATACAAGTATTAGTTTTTAAGTTGCTAATGTGCTATCTGAAAGTTTATTGTCCTTATTTTTTCATACATTGGGGATTTCGATGGAGAAGTGCATACATGCCAACTTGGACTTCATGACCACTTAAGTAAAGGTACGATCATTCCTTGAATTATTATTATTATTATTTTTTTTGGTTTTCTCAATAAATGATAATGTTTTTGTATATAAAGCAGTGTAAATCAATGATGCAGTTGTGATTAGTTCAAAGTTTCATGTTTTTGGAATTGTTAGCCATCTTTGCTGGGTGGCTTTCATGATGTCTAATATTTTCCTGCAGAGTATAAGTTTGTCGTCAATACATTTTGATAATGACTTTTCCAAATTTCTTTTTTCCAATATTATTTATTTATTTTTTTTTAGATAGTGTTTTTTCCAATATTCTTGAATGTTTATCATTAAGTGAATCTCCAGAGATATGGCTTGCTCTTTCCTAGGAATCCAATATTTTCATGAGCTGTCTAGAAAATGAGGCATATCAATTGTCTACAGAATTTCCATCTTTGATCTCTGCAAATGTCGAACTTATAGAACTTTATGGTTGTTTTTGATGTTTTAATTTTTCTTAAGATAGCAATTGTTGTTAGTTTTGTGATAACCCTGTTCCGTATTATGCTAATTGATCTTATTTATGATTGTGATTATGTATTTAATATGATTTTGAGTGTCATTTATATGATTATATGTGATTTTGAATTTCTATCTGTTCACCGTAGGAAAATATGTTCAACTTATTGTTAGAAACTGAAAATTGAAGGCCTTATCGGCCACAGAAACCGAAATTGACTACGCCATTTTGATTGGCATAATTTTTAAAGCCTATGGTGAAATTTAATTAGAAATTGATTTGGATCAAAGTAATTAGATTCAGAACGACTAATTTAAGCTCCATTATTTGGTCTAATCAATTTGATTAGGCAAGCTTATATATAAGGGCTTTATTTCACTTAAACCCTTTATTTTTGTGAACTCAAAATCTGAAATCACACTCTAGAGAGAGAGAGGACCGGTTCTAGAGAGAGAAAGAGGGAGAATTGTGTATCTTGGCTCAAAGGTTGTGAATTTGAAAGTTTAACTCCAAGAATTAGCTAGAAATTGGGAGCTTGGGACTCCAAGGTGAGTGTTTGAGCATTGGTTCATTAGTTAAGGTTGTAATTTTGAGAATTTGATGTTAGATTGTAATCAAAAGTGTGGGTTGAGTTGAATATGAAGTTGGAATGCACATGCATGCATAGAATTACCATGAATTGCCATGAATTTGTATAATCTAGCATATAGCTTGTTAATTATGAAAAATTAACCTTCTCTCGATTGCAGCGGGGGTCTGAGAAGCATCGGAGAGTTGCTGAGACTGAAGAAGCAAACCCTCTCTCCGCTTCTTCAAGAGATTGTCCTCGCGCTTGTTCTTCCTGATCTCCACCAGATTGTCCTCTCTCCGTCGCCGAGCTTCGTCGGCATCGACGCCAGTTTTGTAGGACTTCTTGCGGACCTCGGTGCGAGAATTGGGTCGCAGAGACATTGCTATTGCTGTGGGTTTCTCTCTCTCTGGAAGGTTTCTCTCTCCAGGTGTTTGATGAAATGCCTAAGATCAGGAAGCTATTGGTGACCTTGAAGCGCGGCGCGGGTCTGGACCTTCCCTTATGCAGGTGTAGGAAGGAAGGTTTGCTTTCGATTTCTCTACAAAAATCGAAGCTTGTCCGGCGAAGAAGCTGCCGGAAAATGGGTCCCGGAGCCAGATCGGAGATTCGGGATGATGGGTTGAGTTCGGGTTCTCGCCGGAAAAATGGGGTCAGTCGGAGTCAAGGTTTTGTAGGGTTTTTTTCAGAGAGAGACAGAGAGACTTCGGGTTGTGGTGTGAGGGGGTGAAGAAGAGTGAAGGTATGTGTAGAAAATAAACGGAATAGGTTGAGGTCCGGCGGACGGCTAAGGTGAGGCTGCCGTCCGCCGGTAAAGTTAAAATATTAGGTTCTAAACCTGCTCTGATACCATGTGAAAATTGATATTTTGATTGATGTGTTATATATTACAAGATTGTTGTATTACAAGATTGATTTATTACAATTCCTATACAATCTATATATAGAAGAAAATGTGGTAGTAGGTGTAGTGGAGGTGATAGTGGGTTAGGTGAAGTGGAGTGTGTGGTGAAGTGGAGGTAGGTGAAGTGGAGTGTGTAGTGGAGTAGGTGAAGGTAAAGATGGGAAATTCTAACAGTAAGCACCACTTGAGCCGTTTGAAATGGAATTGGAATAAAAAATTAACTTGCGTGGTTGATTAATGAAGATCTAAAGCTTATATGAAGTTTGAATGCATGGATTTTGATTATACAAGAGAAATGTTGATTGATTTGGGAATTAGATAATGATTTTGAACAATTGACTTCATAATGGTTATGTTCTCATAGTGTGTCATGTGTTTATATGTTTTTGTGTCCAAAAACTTGAGTTTTGAACCCTTGGACATTGAGTTTGAAGCTCAAGCAGCTTGTTGGAAAACCCAGAATTCAGCATGTCCGCTCGAGCGTGAAATGTTAGCTCCCAGAACTTTTGCAGACATGGATGTCCGCTCGAGCGGAGAGGTTCACACTCGAGCGCCAAGCCGTGTGGTTTGGCTTTCAACTCAAGCGTCCGAAGTCACGCTCGAGTGTAAAAATGAGGCAACTAGTACTTTTGCAGACCTAATGGGTCTGCTTGAGCGGCAGAAACCACGCTGGAGCGGGGAGCCCTGTTTCAGAAATTTTGAAAAGATGTTTCGTGTTTCATTTTCCGTTCTTTTTCATTTCTAAGCACTCTTAGGCATGTATTGGGCTTTGTATATGACCTAAGGGATAAGAAAGAAGCCTAAGAGAAATAATAAGTTAAGAACGGATTGAATAACTTATGACCCATTGTGTTAGGAATTATGTAGGGTCGAGTGCAAGGGCGAATCAAGCACCGGATTACTGTGAGTAATATCTTAGTAAAGATATTTTTGTATACGCATTACTTCCTAAATGTTGCCAACGTGGTAATTTCTAAATTTGTGAAATTGTACTATGAATGAGTATTCTATTCGTTCGTACCTATAAAATGAATGTTGTGAAAATGAAAAATGGGCCTAAGGCCGTTCAGTATATTTGACAAAGATGTAGATTGGGCCGAAGGCTGTTTTGCATAATTGATAAATGGACCAAAGGTCGTTTTGAATAAAGAACTGATTGGATCAAAGGTTGTTTTGAGGATGAATACAGATGCGACCATGATTAAAGGCGCATCACTGTGAATATGAGAATGTTGGACCCGAGGTCGTTTTGTAATGTGATAAGGAGGACCGGTGGTCCTTGGCACATGGATACATTAGACCTAAAGTTGGTCTATGAATGAGTATTGAACCCGAGGTCGTTTTGTACAGGTGGACCCAAGGTCGTTTTGAGTGCAATAGACCTGAGGTTGTTTCGTACCTAGATATGACATGGACCTGAGATCGTTTTGTACATGGATATAATATGTTGGACCCGAGGTCGTTCCGTATGTTACAGTCTATGCATTTGATACAAGTGGAACTAGTAGTTCAAATGTTTAAATTATACGTATGACTTATTCACGAACGAATCTCATTCATTAACCTCTTTACTCTGGTATTATTCACTCGGTATCAGCTCACTCTGTATTTATATGTATGTAGGTGAGCAGCGGGATGTCTAACCCCAGTCCCAGTAAGCGTTGAGAAACCAAGTTTTGTGAGGTCATCCAAGGTCGCCTCATGCAGAGGCTTTGCTTTTGTTTTATTACTCTTGGAGCCTTTTTGTGGTCATGTAGTACAACCTTGACCGACCATGTATAGAATCTAAATTTTTGTTAACACTGGTTGAATAATCCTGGGTGTATGTATGACATACTTTCTGTGAATATGCTTTTGGTGTGAGTTATTATGAGTATATAAGAATGTTTGGTTAAGCTATGTAAGCACAGCTCTATGGACAATTCATAAGTTTGCTTCCGTTTTGGCCCCTTAACTCTGATATAGTATGTTTTACTTGGTTTGAGGCCGCAGGTAATCTCTTGATTACTGGCCGGTTATGACCCTAATCCATAGGGGCGGGTTGTGGTCATGACAAGTTTGCCTCTACCTTGTGTTTTCTCTATGTTCCTTTTGTATTATTAGTGAATAACAAGCTTTTCAGAGACAATTTCTGCCTTTTCAAATTTTGGGGGGCTTTGCTTTCCTTAATGAATAGTCATATTCTTTGCCTCTACCTTGTATTTTCTCTATGTTCTGTGTGATTCTCATATTCTTTGACTATATATTATCTGCCTTTTCCACCATGTATGCAGACAAAGGAGCGAGTCATTTGCTACATTACACAAATCACAAAACATTATTTTCACACTTTGTTTTAAATGTGGATTATATCAAGTGTTTTGTGAAAATGAGCTGAATCAGCTAATCATATTTCCATGATCCTTGAGCTTTGTGCTGTGAAGCTCAGAAAAAAAAAAAAAAAAAAAAAAAGGAACAGAAAAGTTTTATTTCTTTTGAAGTACATATATGAAATACTAGTTAAAATACATTTTTTGAACAGTGGAAATCCACTTATTTCATAACTATTGCATACTTAACTGTTAAGAAGTATGGATTCCTTTTCTTGGGAAAGCCAAGCTGCTGTTCACAATCTGCAAAATTGAGCTGACTATATGTCTTCATCAACCACACAATATTAACTGACAAATTTAAACCAACTTAATTGGACAATCTCATTATTGTTTTCCTCATATCTGCTGATGCTTGAAAGCTCAAAAGAGCAGTCTTCGACCACAGTAACCCTATGTTAACAAGAACGCATGCACTTGACAATCTTCCACACATGAACTCTTGCACAATTACACTCCCAAAATCTTAAAACTCTAAAACTCTTCTGCAGTCCTTCCAAATTTCCAATACAGTCACCTGTGCACACACACACTGCCACACGCTCCTGCTCTCTCTCATGCTCTCCCACACACTTCCACACCTGAAGAATACATCAGATTGTAAGCTTTTTTTTTTTGGTGTGTGTGTGTGTGTGTGTGTGTGTGTGTGTGTGTGTGGTAATTATCAGATTTTAAACTTGGTTATATTTGATATTTTTCTGGTGTGACTCATTTTAAGTATCAATCCTAATGCTATCTATGCACAATGCACAATGTTCATAGGAACATTGATTGTTTTAAGTGCTAGGTGATGGGAAGGGGATATATGATGTGCCATTTATTCTAGGATGTGCCATGCCATGTGGTTCTTCTTTTAGATTATTCAATTGACCATTACAAGCTGTTTCATATCCAATATTAGATTTCTTTTTAATCAATGAAGATGTTTAAGAAAACTTTATCTTTGTAATGAAGCTTTATATGTTGTTCATTGTTTTTTTCCCCCCACTTTTTGCATAGCCTTGAAAAAAATATTAATAGTAGAGTACTGATGGCTTATTTTTATCATCATACATATTTGAGGAAATTTCATTTTACCCCTTAAACTATACATCGATAATCAATTTAACCCTTGTACTTATTATAATTTCAATTTTACACCTAAACTATTTGATTTTGGATCAATATTACCTCTGCCGTTAGCTACCGTTTATAATCAAATGGAAGTTGCTGATTTGGCACAGAAATTTCGTTTGAAATTTTATTTTGCCCCCCAAATTATCTAAGAAATATAAATTAGACCCCCCAAATTCATATTGTTTAGGGGTGTAATTGATATTTTGGAGATTGTTTGGGGGATAAATTGAAATCTCAAATGAAGACGGCAGCAAGTGTCGTCAGCAGCTAACAGCAGGGATGAAATTGATCAAAAATTGAATAATTTAGGTGTAAAATTAAAATTAAAATTATAAGAAGTGTAGGGTTAAATTGATCATCGAGGTATAGTTTGAGAGGCAAAATGATATTTCCTCTACATATTTAACAATTTTTAATGGAAATCTACCACATTTTGGATCATGCAATCTGGATGGAAGATCACTAAAAGTAAAGTAAGAAGCTTTCCTGATGTCGACTTCATGAACAGGACCTTCCATCACTTTTACGTTGTGTTTGGTTGGGAGATTTGGGAAGGGATTTGGAAAGAGAAAGGGAAAGGAAAAAGGTGTGCGATATTAGATGAAATATAGATATATTTTATTCACATTTTACCTACCTTTTCCCTTTCCCTTTCCCTTTCCAAATCCCCCAACCAAATACAACGTAAATGATTTCCAGTATTACACTATCCAGCAAGTTAATGGTGAGAATTGCCACATTGCTATATTAGCCTCTTTTTGGTAATTTGTTTTTTTTAATGCACATGTTTGGCATGAGGCTGTGGATGCTGATGTTCTTTTTATGTTTATGAACTATAATGCAATTTTTCTTCTTGTATTTATTTTTTTCTTGAACTTTTTTTTGTTGGAAAAAACTTTTTATTCAATTTCTGCATCCATATCATCCTCAGGCTTGAAGTTGGTTATTTAATTTGATTACATTTGTTGCAGCCAAATGCATAGTCAATGAACTTGAAGGCCTTGTCAAGGAAGTAACAGGTGCGATGCGAACTGCAAATGAAAGCAAACCACTTTCGCAGGACAAAGTCACACAAGATGAGTTTGGTCCAGAAGCAACTTTGTACGATAAGGTACTGTATACTTTATATCTTTTAGTCGGGGTGCATACTCTTTTTTCTGTTTACTTATTTCAGTTATTCTCTAAAACCTTTCATTCAGTTTCCTTGTGTTTGTTTGCCATCAAAGGACCTGGGGAGAGGGGGGATTCAGGTAGGGATTGTTACATAAAAACGTCTTTCTTTTTTTTCCTAGAAGTTGTCATTCTTCTAATGAGAATTAGTAAGCATAGACACTCCAAAATGGGTAGTAAGAACGGATGCTCCAAAATGGGTAACATCAAGTTCAACACGAGTTGAACATCAACATGGTGCGGTCACATCTATCCACTTGTTGGAAATGCCATGTGGTGTATCACTAATACTTCATGGATAGTGGACATGCGTATCCTATGTCTGGACTAGACTCAGGATTTTTTTTTTTTTTTTTCCTGCTTTATGCAAATCAAATATCTCTCCCAGGTTACTAGCCTTTCGTTTTTGGCCTCTAGCTCTCATCTTGAAAGTGCAAAGTCTTTGAGGTGGCAGTAGCTCTCGATTGAGAATTCTTCTTCGTGAGCAAGTCAGAGCAAGACCTTAGTGAGAATCAAATTATCACTATATTTTTCCCCTTTTCAATTTCTTCTTCCAAGTGCAGGATAACACAAAGGAATTGTGAGTTTTTTTTTTTTTTTTTCCTGCCAATCGGGGCCCTCCCTGCACCACCCCCATGGGGATGGTCTATAGGTTTCATAACTACTCCTTTCACTACATGATTAGCGGCTACACCCAAACTTTTCTGGTTTTGCGGTCGAACAAAAATATATGGAAACAAAGAGGTGGAAATTGAAAAAAAAATAAAATAAAAATACACCCACATATACACAATGCTTTTCATGTCTTATATTAATATACATAACAAAAAAATAGTATATATATTTTTTATTGTGTTCCTGCTGTGTCCGTATTCTAATTGTTTAAAATCGTTGTCTCGTCTTCCTACCAATGCCCATATCCATGCCCTTGTCTGTACTTCTTAGAACGAGAGTATGAAATAGATAAACAAGGTATACGATTTTGTTATTTAGATGCTTGCTTGCACACCTACTTTACTTGAATTAGGGTTGTTTGGGATTTGACATGGGGTTGTTAATTTCGATATTCTTGAGAGACGAGTATTTGTTTTGGGGTGGATATCTTTCTAGAATGTTCATTGCTGCAATTTGACTTGTGATACATTTATTTGAGGTGCTAGGCACACTGAGGCACCAAGGTCTCTTGGTGCTAATTGAGTTTGAAGTTAATGGTCATCCCAAATTTTCGGTGCAATTATTTTGTGTTTTAATGTTGTGGCCAACAGATATGATGGCTTCTGATCTATCGTGCTTGGCTGGTAAATTTTTTGGCTTGTTGGGAGAAAGACAAACCATGGATCCACCAATTGTTGACTAGCTCGAGAAAAGATCTTCATAGTTGGGAGCTCTAAGACAATGAGCGATATGGAATCCTAGGACTAGAACTATGGTGTACTACTTCCCAATAATATAGTTGTTTGATCTCATGGTGAAAGGGGAGCCTGGAGTGAACTTGCCCATTGCCGTATAGTAGTGTGTGTAAGGGGAGATTTTCAACTAAATAAAACATGACAAATAATTTAATAAACAGCTTAATGATGTCAGATCTTTCTGTTGGAGTGACATGGTATTAATGTGGTGGTTGGCAACACTCGCCCTCCTTTTGCAGAAATAACTTAGTCTCTTTACATGGTTTGCTATTTGCAAAATTTGAGCTGATTGTTTCCACTTGCAATGATTGTTCCCAATTTTTGATGATTTAATTATTTGCATTGATTCGTCTACTTCCACTACATTTCATGCCTAGATTTTGGTTATATATTAAATCCAAAGGGCTTCAATAAAATTTGATTTTGGAAAAAATGTAAAAGAAAAGGCTATCTAGCTTGAAATTGGCCAAATTATTAATTTTTGATTGATGTGCAACAATTTCTTGTTGCAAACACCACCTGCAGAGGTATTTAGAACTCTTATTTGAGATTAGTTTCCGGTTTGAATTATAACATTGTGATTCTTTTTTTCTTCAGGAGGAAACCGTATCTTCTGAGCTTCCGAAACCAGAACACACTGATTATGCTGCCATGATGAGTGTTATATATAGTATGGTGAAGCTGGACTACATTATGCAGGTACTAAGCTCCCTCATGTTGTGTGATATTTCTAATTTGAAGATTTATTGCCTTGTTTGGTTTCATTTTCAGAATATTTTTCCTAATTTTTTTTTTTTTGGAAAAATCAAAGTTAATTTGATGAACATAAACCTAACCCACTACACCACTACCACCTCCACTTCACCTACTCCTTACCTACTACACACTCACCCTCTTCTATATATAGGAATCATGAATCATTGTAATAGAAAACAACATATCAATCAATAATAATACATACAATTTATTCTCTCTCTTTCTCTATACATTATTTCTTACATGTACTACTTCCCAATAATATAGTTGTTTGATCTCATGGTGAAAGGGGAGCCTGGAGTGAACTTGCCCATTGCCGTATAGTAGTGTGTGTAAGGGGAGATTTTCAACTAAATAAAACATGACAAATAATTTAATAAACAGCTTAATGATGTCAGATCTTTCTGTTGGAGTGACATGGTATTAATGTGGTGGTTGGCAACACTCGCCCTCCTTTTGCAGAAATAACTTAGTCTCTTTACATGGTTTGCTATTTGCAAAATTTGAGCTGATTGTTTCCGCTTGCAATGATTGTTCCCAATTTTTGATGATTTAATTATTTGCATTGATTCGTCTACTTCCACTATATTTCATGCCTAGATTTTGGTTATATATTAAATCCAAAGGGCTTCAATAAAATTTGATTTTGGAAAAAATGTAAAAGAAAAGGCTATCTAGCTTGAAATTGGCCAAATTATTAATTTTTGATTGATGTGCAACAATTTCTTGTTGCAAACACCACCTGCAGAGGTATTTAGAACTCTTATTGAGATTAGTTTCCAGTTTGAATTATAACATTGTGATTCTTTTTTTCTTCAGGAGGAAACCGTATCTTCTGAGCTTCCGAAACCAGAACACACTGATTATGCTGCCATGATGAGTGTTATATATAGTATGGTGAAGCTGGACTACATTATGCAGGTACTAAGCTCCCTCATGTTGTGTGATATTTCTAATTTGAAGATTTATTGCCTTGTTTGGTTTCATTTTCAGAATATGTTTCCTAATTTTTTTTTTTTTGGAAAAATCAAAGTTAATTTGATGAACATAAATACCAAATTTTTTTCTTCAAATTTTTGAAAAAACAAATTGCCCCAAAAAAGTGGAAATCATATGAAATTATGAGTTTCTTTTTTTTTTTTTTGGTCAATTTTTTCCCCAAACTAGTTTTTAGGTTTTTTTGAAGAAAAAATAACATAATAGATTTTGAAAACCAACCAAATTGGGAGATTAATTTCTTCTCTTTTTCTGCATAATGATCCGAATCTGGGAAAATTGTGTACATTCTATGACAAGGTTTAAGTTCTCCTTCTGTCAACACTTTTTAGGGGGTCTGACTGAGAAAATTATCACTTTGTTGTAGCAAAGGATCGTTTCTTCACTTAATCTCAAATCGTCGTCAGGAGAACTAGAAAGCTACAGCCTGATGTGGTCCTTGCGCCCTTTTATAAACAATGATATCATGCATCAAGCTTGGAGGCTTATTCCATGAGTCTCGTAGGTATGTTCTGCGAAGATTTTTTATTTATATTTAGATTAATTGTAAAGGAAGAACAATCTGTTTGACTAGTTTTGTTTTTTTAATAAAAAATAGGTTTTATTTTTTTTTTTTTTAGCGCATTGGTAAATTTTTGGACTAAAAGCAAAAACACACCAGTTCTAGCTAGAGCAGTCACTTTGCACATAGCACAAAGGTTAGGTCTGCGTTGCATTGGTGAAAGCTAGGACTAACAAGCACGAACACACTGGCTTCACTCCGTTTGCTTACACATTCTCTTTGCTGATTCTTTCAAACTGACCATGCCTTACTACAAGTCTCTTCCTAATTGTCTCATTTGCTTTGGATTCCTTCATGAAGCGAAAAATCCAAATCTAGTATTTACCTTGGACCTAATAGCTTTGTGCGCCATCTGTTGTATCTCTTGTTTTAAGTTGTGCCATAAAACAGTAAATTTGAACTTGTAGCAGAACACCCTCCCTTCACTTCACATACAGGAATAGGATGCAAGAAGATCACCTCCCTACACTCCAATATCCAGAGTAGGAGGCAAGGCTTACTCCTTCCTATTCCTATATGGAAGCCAGGACACAAGGTTTGATTATTCAGATATACCAACCTCCTTTCCCTAAATAATTTATGAAATATTATTTTGATTTTCATTCTCCTTTTATCTCGTACATACGGATCAACTGCTAGCATTTCATAGAGTACAATGATTAGGATCGCTGTAGCAAGTGTGTAGAAAAATTAAGTGGGTGTATTTAGGCCATGTTTGATTGTTGGATCAAGTTGAGTTAGATTACAAGTGCAACGGGATTGAGTGATGAGATTACTAGTGTAGTTGATGTGTGCCTTTTAAGGCACACGTTAAGTCATGCGGAATGTACATTCTTTTTAAACTTGTAAACTCATGCCCTAGGGACACACTTCAACAAAATCCTTGTCTAAAAGGTGGCTTTGTTGTTGTAAAGTACAACAAACTAGTCTTTTCACATCCAATTTTATAGGATTGGATTCACAATCCCACTTCATGGGAATGCTAATCCCACAATGTGAGCGATTCATAATCCTAAGGACAATTAGTACCATGTTATTTTTACCAACCAAACATGATTATATGGGATCCACTGGATTCCTAATCAAGTCCCATCAACTATGGATTAGATGCCTTGGGTGCTTCCTACCTGATGTATTAGACAACTAATGATTTTCCTTCTATATAACATTGACAACAATTTTTGACTAACCTCACTTTTGAGGTGAGTTTCGAAATAAAAATTCATGGTACATAGATTTCCTGCTCAAACAAAGAGGCTCTTCTGGGATTGTATCCAACATGGGCTTCTTTGACCTACTCACCGCTACTCTATACTTGAACTCTGGTGCCGGAAACCCCTCGACACCCTCCAAATTTAACCTTGAATCGCCAACTTGACCAGACTGCAGTGATATCCTCACGTTTCCACCCTTTACCTTCTTGGTCCGTGAGTTAGCCGCCATGAAAAACACAGCCATATCTGGTGCCGTGACTATGGAATTCACTCTCTTCATAGGAAACAAGAAGTACAGGTTACCGAACTCCAAGTCTTCATCAGCGGCAAGAGGCGAAAACCTGCGGCCAATGTTCAAAGACCGCGAGTTGACCAAGAAGAAGGTTGGGCACTCAAGCATGAGCTCCGCTGCCTTCATGGGTTCACGGAACTGCCGGATTTCGCCGCTGGGAAGTATCACCCTAGCTGCCTTGGATTTCTTCATTGTAGGGGAGATAAGGCTGCATGAATAGTTTCCCATGTTAGAGACAGAGTTTTGGAGAGAGGAGAGACACTGGTTATGGGTAGGGTATGGTATGGCACAAAGTCATGTAGACTCAAAAAGGATTTATAGAAAAGGGCGAGTAGACATTGACTATTATGGTAAATATCACGTTGTATCACTAATCAATGAGAAATTTTATATTATAGGAAATTATATGGTTAAGTTAATAAGAGACGTGATATCTATCTAATTTTATGCGCTGCATTTTTTTGATGATGTCATCATTATAATTAATATTTGTTCTAAAAGAACACAATTTTTATGTGCATATATATATATCTAAATATAAATATATTGTACATAGGTGATGGAAATGGTAGGAAAGCACATTTTAGGTGTAGAAAAATGAAGGGTGCAACGGTTATGATATGGTTTGGAGTTAGGCGGAAGAGTTGTGGAAAAGGCATGGAAGGTGCACGTTTCTTTGTCAAGGATGGTTTTGTTGTTGTTGATGATACGTGTGAGACGTGCTACGGGAAAATTGGGTTGTGTGCTTGGTAGGACCCACTTTAGACCCATATAATAATTTAAAGGGTAAATTACAAATATATTCCTGAAGTTTGTTTAAAATACAGATTGTTTTTTATAGTTTGAAAAATTACAAATGTCTTTTTGTCAAAAATTGTTATTTAACAAAATTAACTGAAAAAATAAAATTTATAATTACTCTCCTATATAATAATAAAATTGCTTAAATTATTAATTGAAACATATTTTTAACATCATTAAAAATGATTAATTGACTTCATGATTTATTAATAAAATGAGTGATTTGTTATGAAATTAGAAATCTTAGTGGTAGAATGTAATTTTTAAAACTACAGGAATTGATTCGTATTTTAATCAAACCTGAGTTGTATTTATAATTTACCCTAATTTAAATGGTTCTTTTATTTTTGGGAAATTATAAATAAATGGGAAAATTATATATAAAAATAAAATCAGGATTTGACCTTTATAATAAAATAAATCTTGAGTTTTTAATTTTGTCAATTTAAACTTTAATCTTTTGATTTGTTTTTAATATAAATCATTCGCCTATTTTGTCAAGTAAAATTGATAAAATACTATTTCAGTCATTAAATTTAATGTACGTGTATATAAAATGTTTAAAATATTATTTTTTAGTTAAGTTTAATGAGTAAATTTTTTTTTTTTTAATTTACTTAATAAAAATAAGCAAATGGTTTAGATTGAAAACAATTTAAAAGACTGGAGATTAAATTGATAAAATTAAAAATTTACGATTTATTTTGTTATTTTTCCTAAATAAATAAAAATATCAAGTTTGACCTTTGTAACTAAATAAATTTTGAGTTTTCAATTTTATCAATTTTAATCCTAATCTTTTGAATTTTTTTTTTCAATCTAAACTATCAATATATATTTAAAACTAATGAAAAAAAGGTATTTAATCATTAAATTCAATGAAAATTAATATTGAGTTTTCATTGAATTTAATGATTAAAATATTATTTTTTGATCAGTTTTACTTAACGAAAATCGGCATATGACTTAGATTTAGAACAAATTAAAAAATTAAGATTTAAATTGATAAAATTAAAAAATTTATTTTATTATAAAACTCAAAACCTTGGGGTTCTTTTGTAATTTTTCATTTTTTTAATTTGGCTAAATTATTCTGACTTTTCTGAGATTTGAAAAAAAAGAGGTAAATTACATCATTAGTTCTTGTGATTTTAATTTGAATAATTTGATCTTTATACTTTTAATTTTGTTACAATGTGATTTTTTCATCACTTATCATTAGAATTTGGAAAGGAAAAAAAATAAAGTGCAAAATGTATAGTACGTGTTTTTTTTTTTTTGTGTTTGTGTTAAAATTAAACTGTGATGTAGTTCAAGACCCATTTGAAAAGTTAATTTTAATTTGCATTGAAAGTAGAATATTCTAAAATCTTCCAAAGAGACCACACTAACATAAATTCAAGGGTAAATTACACTGGCATCTCTTATAGTTTAAAGAAAATACAATAAATCTCATAAGTTTGATATAATTACACGAATGTCCTTTTTGGTAAGGTTAAAGTAACTAAAATTAATGCAAATAATAAATAGACACAAACAATTGGAAAACGCAAGAATTAACAAAGGTATTACATTTTAATATAAAACAGATGATATTATTTTTTCAATCCATATAACTAATGAATAACTTGTGAAAAATGGACTAAGTATGATATGAATTAAAAATTTAAGAAAAGAATGCGGTTATGTCAAAAGTGCAAAATTAATGTATTTTTTTCAAACTTTAATTAAAGTGACCATAATTTTCCCTTTTTATGTTTTTTTATGCGATGAGACTGGGCTTATATGGTACAACTTTTTACAAATTAAAAATTGATAATTAGAAGTAAAAACTAAAAGTATCTATGTTTATTTTTAGAATAATGTTATATGCACAAATTGATATATTAATTAGTGTACAACAGATGATGTGACATAATTTTAGAGGTTTTGGATATTTGTAATTTGTATAATAGGTAGGACTAATAATAATGTCATAATATATGTTGATATACACTAATTGATATACTAATGCTGTGTTTGGTTGAGGGATTTGAGGAGGGATTTGGAAAGAGACAAACTTTAATTAAAGTGACCATAATTTTCCCTTTTTATGTTTTTTTATGCGATGAGACTGGGCTTATATGGTACAACTTTTTACAAATTAAAAATTGATAATTAGAAGTAAAAACTAAAAGTATCTATGTTTATTTTTAGAATAATGTTATATGCACTAATTGGTATATTAATTAGTGTACTAACAGATGATGTGACATAATTTTAGAGGTTTTGGATATTTGTAATTTGTATAATATGTAGGGTCAATAATAATGTCATAATATATGTTGATATACACTAATTAATATACTAATTGATGTATATAGCACAACCGTTGTTTTTATATCATAAATTATAAACAGAAATTACACGAAACACTTTAACATAATTTTCCAAAACAAAAAAACACCATAAGCGAGTACCAAACAACCATACTGAATGGGAATGGTAAGACTTTGGGGACTTTCTATTTTATTTTTTTTCTTCAATGGAATTGTAGGTTACTTGTCACTACTTGCTAGATTGGGACATGAAGCTTGCCATTTAACATCTATTTAAGTACCCATACCATGAAGTCTTTTGTGCAGTCAACTACCTATTTAATCTTTTTTGTGGTCATAATTAATACTTGACAAGTGATAATTCACCTCTTTTGACAGATTATATGATTAAAGTTCCACCAATATTCTATGCAATAGAATGATAACACCATCTTTATATAATAAAAAATATATATATTGCAAAATCCGCCAAATTGTTATTGGTTTAGATGCGGGAAGTATTAACAACATATACAATTTGAATATAATCAAATAACATTTGAGATAAATATTAAAATACGTACATTATGTTAATAATCATGAGATTTCAGGTTCGAATTTATAGAACGACGTTGCCTTACATTATAATCCAACTATTAACATACTAATCGCTATCTTGTATAAAAAAAATTCATGACATTTTACTGACTCAAGAATCATGAAATGTTATTTTCAGTACACTTATCCTCAACTAAAATCAATAAAAACTGATCTTGAAAAGAAAGTCCTAAGATCCTTTTGGCTAATATAAACAAATTTCCATTATCAATCTCAAAAACCTGTGTGAGAAAGGGGTGTTAGTTCTATGATTTTTATTTTTTTTGTGGTTATTTTTTGCTTTGATATTAAGAAAATGAATTTATGATTAGTTTCTCTAATTTATCTTTCAGTCAAGTCCATATAATGTATTTAACAACAACAAATGGACAAAATGTAACAAAATGACTATATTGAACCAATTTGAAAAGTTAAGGACTTAATTTAACAAAAAATTAGTTTAAGGATTAATTAAAATAAATACGTCAAGTTCAAGGACTTCTGCCATAATTTACACTATAGTTCAAATATCATCTCTTAATTTTTCACGTTTGGTTCAAACGTCAACCTCAATTTTTACATTCAGTTTTTGGGAAAATATCAACTGAACCACCATTTGAGGACTTTTCAATTGCCTCATGCTCAAAACTGGTGAGTTGATTGAATATTTTGAAAATAAATAAAACCGACACACTCAATAAACCTCCACAAGTTGCATGTTTTAATTTAATTCTTCATCATATAGTATCAATGCAATATATAATTATTTTCTTTAATCTCTTGCTCAAATGGTTCTGGTTGTACTGTTCAATCACGAGCATAGTTTTAAATAGCAGTATCGAGATTACGAGTGAAGTAGGGTAATGTTCGCTAGAGCCTTCAAATTGAAGGGTCGAATCCGGGATTGGCTTCCACTCCATAAAAGCTTAGAGATGAGCTTGTAAGCATGCTCTGAAGGGTGAAAAAAATCCCAGAACAAGAATTGATTAGGGTTTGAACAGATGTAGTAACCCTCCTTCCCACACTGCATCTGTCCTCCAAGAGTTCCATACCCACAACATGCACTGGATACATTCAAGATGCCTACATGTGCAATATTTGTAATCATGAATTACGGAAATGATTTTCATGCAGAATTTAAGACTACAATAATGTGACATTACTATTTTTTTTTATAATATAAGCATTTTGATGGGATTTTTTTATTTTAAAGTGATTGAATCAAAACTTGTCACATTATATTATATTAATTTTATTTATCTTTATATTTATTTTGTGTTTGGATAATACTACTCTATGAATAATGTGTAAAACTAATAAGAATGGCTTTGTCATAATGTCATACATACAGTTACAAAAAAGCCCTTTAGGGTAGGGGTGTGCACAAACCGGATTGGTTCGGTTTTAGAGTAAATTAGGAATTGAATCATAAGAACCGGTTTCAGAAAAATTAGAATCATAACCGAACTGTTAAACTATAGAATCGGACCAGAACCGAAACCGATTTGATTCGGTTCGATTTTACATTTTATCTAACAATAAATATGATATATATTTTATGTTAGTAAACAAATTAATGATAATTATTTGGTAAGTTGGTTAGACTTTATCAATTTTACATTGAAAGCTAGTATTCAAATCTTATAGGAGACATTTTATATTTTAATTTTTACATATAAAAGTAAAATAAATAAATATGTCACAGTCTAGTTCGGTTCAAAATCATAACTAAAGTTTTGAAATCGGGAATCAAATCAATTTGAACGATTCTAATATTTTCAAAACCAATATCAAAATTAATAAAAATTATACCAAACCGACAATTTAGGTCATGTACACCCCTACTTTAGGGTTAAGCAAATGTTAAATCATGTGACACATCATATGAGAAATTTTAGTCCCCATGTCGTGAGTTGGTTGGATAATACTTATGAAAGCAATGATTTCAGATTGTGTTTGGTAACATTGATGTTTTCACACACACACAAAAAACAGTAAATATATTTTGTTTCATTTGTTTCTTTTTTATTAAAAAAATAAAATAAAAACGAATAACAAGTTTGGTAGATAAACATTCTTCTAAAGTAAATAGAAAACATAATTAAAATAATATGTTTAATGAGTTGTTAGAAAGAGTGGAGGGAGAGGGTTGCGAAGTCGGTTGCTTGAGGAGGGGAGTGTGGAGGGTTTTCAAAGGAAGGGGAGGGAATAAAAAATCATTTTAAAAAATGAAGAACACTTTAAAAAATATATATTTTCAATATTTTAAAAAGTTTAAGCATTAATTCACGTGTATCGAGATTTTGAACTTTTATATATTCGATATCAATCAATATATAATTACATTACTGATATTAATATGTATATATATATATATATATATATATCAGCAATGTTAGGTATCATGAAAAACCTTTCATGAAAATAATCATGAAAGATTTGTGATCCTTGGATTACACTTAGAATAAAGCACCACATACTAATCAAGGTAATCTAAGGATCATAAATATTTCATGATCATTTTCATGGAAAATTTTTTATAATCCCTAACTTTTCTCTCTCTATATATATACTAGTGGCTGGCACACGCAATACGTGCACAAGTTAAATAAATAAAATATGTAACATATATTGGTTGTAATCTCAAGTGATAAGAATCTTCCTCATCAAATTTGTGGTCTTGAGTTCAAGTCTTGGACCATTCTCTTCTCTAGTATTTTTTATTTTTTTTATTTTTTTTTTATTTTATTTTATTTTTTTTTTAGATCATTGACTGAACACCTCTAGAGTGAAATTTCCTTAAAATTTCCTAGAGTGCTACATTGTGTGGTTGAGATTTACTGGCAAGTCACATCAATTTTAGGAAAAAATCACTCTAGAGGATCCTTGCTCTGAACACTTGCCATGAAAAGAGACAAAGCTACGAGAAACCAATCTAAGTGCTCACATATATAATAGTATAGATATATCTGGAAACCATTAGTTAAAACTATGTAAAGAAAACAAATGAAGCAAAAATAATTACCATAACGCATTGGCATAGCTCGAAAGAGTTGAACAATGTCATACACAGCTCCATAAACCCCAGCAACACCTGGATACTTGATATGCACATTCTTCACCAGATTTTCCAAACCCTGATTATAATTCTTCACCATTTTATTCATCTTCCCGAAACATCGGTCCACAGGTGCACTGGGCAAAACAGCCCTAGCTGGAACACAGCCGACCGGGCCCAACGAAAACACGGCTAGGCTTCGAGCGCCAAGCCTGTAAAGACTGTCAATGAAGTCTTCGACTTGTGTCAGCATGGATTGGACATAGGCGTCTGGATTGAGAGTTGGGGGATCAAATGAAAGGAAGTAGTTGAAGATGTCATTTGAACCGGACTCGAAGAGGAAGAAAGATTGCCTGATTAGGTCTTTGTCTATCTTGTTTTGGTCTACTAGGGTTTGGAATTGTTGTAGCTTGTCTTGGATTGGCATCACTCCCTGCAACAGCCCACCCCACAGATGAAGGGTTAGAGATTGGACACAAAATAATATATATATGAAGGGATAAGTTTTTTTAAATGAGAAAATGTTTGAGACCCTCATACATTTTTCACAATTCAATTAACACAATGATACAATCTGACAAGTATTAACTTTTGATTGGTTAAACACTAAATGATACGGGACTTAGGACCCTTACTATATCATTGTGGATACATTCGTGAATGTAAAATGTGAGTCTCTAACATTATTGTTTTAAAAGTAGGCTTCAATAATAAATTGTATAAATTCTTTTTCATTCATTTATATATATATATATGTATGTCCAATTCTGTGATCTATCATTGAATCTTATTCAATAAAATTCTTTGATCTATGTTTATGTTTGTAGCAAAATTGAAACATTAGCAAAAAGAATACAGGTAAAATAAAGAATAGTGTCATACAATGAGAAAATTCATACAAAATTATATGATTTGGTGCAAACATTTAATTTTAGAACAAAAATATATATATATATATTAGTCATTTACAAAAATAGTGTGTTTTGTCCAATTTTTTTTTTATAGTGTGTTTTGTCCAATTTTTTTTTAACGTAATTCCAAAACATTAATAAGGTGATGTACAAATCAAAGCTTAATTTCTCTTGTAACAAAATGCAGTAAATGTGAGGCAATCAACAGCATAGACATAAAAACATGTTAGGATAAATTATATTGGTAGTCTCTGCATTTTATCTCTTGTGTTATTTTGGTCTCTATAATTGCAATTAACTTGATTTTGATACTTAATTTTAAATTTTGTATTAATTTGGTCTAATTAATAACTCCGATTAATATTTTTGAATGAAATGCTTAGAGTTGGTTGAGATTAACTTATTGAATTGAACTAGTTTTCAATTTTACCTATGTAAATGTTGGTGCTGATTTCCGACCACACTGCTAAACAGGAACTCAATAGGAGAGCACAGGTAGAATAGATCACGCCCGAATAACCTGTCACAGAAAGATAAGACTCCGGCGGTGATTCGTCCACCCGGGGACACTCCGACAATCAAGTCAGTACTCAGTTATTTTTCAAAGATAGCAAATAATGCTTAACTCACTAACCATAATACAAAAAGCGTACCTTAGACCAACGATGGTGCCTTACTTTTATAATTAGCACTAACCTGATCCCTATAAAAGCCTAGTTTCAATGGACTTTGGCTCAATGCTCATCTATGACTCCCATTCGGATAAAGATAAACTCCGTAAGAGCTTTATCTTTATCCATACGAAGGTTCTCCCCAATTCTAGGACTCTTGTCCCTTATCCGCTCATCTCGGATTCCGGTATCTCCCCAAGTAACCTCGGCCTAACCGAGATCACCTCGGCATCATAACCAAGACACGTGGCACCTCGACTGACACTTCGGCATCACCTTGGCCACGTGTTGTCATTCACAAAATATGTCCCCATAACTGCCCCTTGAGTTCTATTACCTCGGCATCCTGAGGTGATGGAACCTACATCATTTGTCCACATATCATGTCGGCTAAGACTTCCCATGACCAAGACTCAGCAGTATACTGTATCAATGATCAAGAACCAAGAACCAAGTTCTTCAAGTTCCTTAACTAAGATCACCCTTCTAGCCGAGGTTTTTGCTTCATTAAATCAAGAACTCCAAGAGTTTTATCTGCGCATAAGCTGTTATGCACGGTTTTCTCAACTGTTTTCGCCACGCGTCCTTCTCTCATTGATTGGTACCAGACATGCGCTATTAGGTCGCGTCGTTCTGCACATGCTGCCTGACAGACATGTCGTCCAAGGAATATCATTTATGGTTTGTCGTCTTTTCACATTTTAACAAAACTTCTCCATCTCTCTCCGTTTCTTTACTTTTGCAAAAACAATCTCTCTCTCTGCTCAGAGCCTTTCTTTCTAAAAATTTCCTAAACCGCCATTTTCGTACCTTCAAAGCTCTCTGCAATCACTCCGTTTACCTCCTTCGGCAAAGCATTTATTGTCCTGCTTCACTCGTCGTCCCCGTCTGACTCCGCCGAAACTCAAACCGGTGTCCTCAATCTCGACCCCAACCAGTGAGTTCTTTATTTCTTTCGATTTTAGTTTCAGTCTTTCATTACTCTGCATATATTCCTTGCATGCCTATTTCGTTGCTGTTGAATTTGTTTTTATGGTTGTATTCTGTTTCTTCTTTGATCATGAATCAATTTCCCATTTCTTTGGATTCTTCTGGTACCTTGAGCTTCGTTACTGCATTTACTTGTGATTCGTACTATTTAATCTATCTCTAGGTCTATATATGTACATATGGACTGCTCACATGCATGATGTTTTAGCAATTTGTCACTGTTCTTTGGCTTTTGCACATCTGCACATGCTCACATAGTGTTCTTGAATTTCTGTTTGTTTTCTTGAGTCTGAATCATTGCTCTTTTCTATTTTTTTTGCTTATTTCCAGATCTTTCCCTTGGTTTCCTATTTCGGTATAGAGCTAGGTTTGGGATTTGTATAAACAACATTCCTTAGGAAAATTGAAATAAACTCCCCTAGATCTTGAAAAACCCTTGCCTCAGTTCCTGTTTAGGGTTTAGCCGAGGTCCTTCAAACCCACACCAACCACTCTCCTCTGAAATCTTGCACCTCATTTCTTTAGCCGACATCATGGGTATGTTCAGGTGGAGGGTAGATACCTTAGAAAAACTCGGATACTTCCGTCGAGAGTTCTCTATCCCAGCCGATGTCCACCTCAGGTTGGCTAGGGAAGAGGACTCCATCATGCCTAGTGGGGATTCCATACCTTTCCCAGTAGTAGCCTTTATAGAGTGTGGATTTCGATTTTCCCTAGACATTCTCTTTAGGGAGGTCCTTCACTACTATAAGCTCAATCCTATACAGCTAGCCATCAACTCATATAGGGTCATCAATGGTATAATTGCTCTAGCTAGCCAAGAAAATGCTAGGATAACACTAGCCGACATTCAATATTATTATACCATGTGTGGCCTAAAATTTGAAAAAGGCTATATTTATTACCTCAAGCCAAGATCCACAGCCTACAAACTCATAGCCGACCTCCCAGACTCCAACAAAGGTGCTGGAGATGATTACTTCATGGTCTCTGGCAACTGGGAATTTGCACCTGACGACGACCTTCATCTCTATCCTTTGCGCTAATCGCTGTTTAAAGAGGATGAGGGTAAGAACTAAGTGTCAATTTTTCTACTTAAGACTTATTACTTTATTCCCTTTATCTATGCTAATGTTTGAATTTTGTACTTGCAGCTCTCCCTCAGCCATCAAAAGATTTTCGCAAAACCTTTTTCCCCAATAAAGACCTTAAGAAGCTGCTAGGCTTGCCAGTTGACCAGCACAAAGCCCCTTTGCTGCTCAATTATATTCCAACTTACAAGTCCGCACCGCCCGACGTCCCCAAGAAGAGCAAGACCCCTCATTCTGCTAGAACTCCACAAGCTAAACGATCATCAAGGCCAGATCAGGGATCTACCTTTGGTCCTGTGAAGCAACCGTTCACCTCTGCTCCCAAATTGATTGCTCCACATCAACGCCAACGTCGTCGCCAAGTTCTTGCCAACGCTCTGACTGGGAGGACTCGAAGTTGCAGACGCCGAGGTTCTAACACACCGGTGTTCGACCCATCTAATCCTCCTACTGCCCTTCCAGCAATACACTTTGGCATTAAAGTTACAGTTGCTTCCACTGCCGGCGAGATGGGCCGCAAACTGGCAGTTGTTAAAGACCTTCTCGCCAATATCCCCGGGGTTATGATGATGCAATCCTCATCCTCCCTATCCTAGCCAAACCCGAAGTCGAAAAGAGTGAAGAAGGCCAAGGTTAAGGCCATAATAACTCAGATTGATTCTGAGGACATTGTACCAATTTCCAAACTAGCCGTGGCTGAAAAAAGCACCCCTTCTGCCGAAAAAAAGCCAGTTGAGGCCCCATCATCCAATGCCCCACCAGCTAAAAAGCTAAGATCCGACCACCCTAAAGGTAGCAGCTATCGCCGCACCATGACCTGGGTGCCCGAGGTTATGGTGGACGACAGACCCTTAACAGCCGGTGACAGCACAGCGAATCTTGAAGTCGGCGCAACCCTGTCAACGGCTATTCTTTTACCAAAAAACTTGAACTGTATGGCTGAGTTGCATAAATATGAGAACTTCGCTCTTATGATGCAGCACTCGGTCTTGGTAATCCTCTTTTACTTACTCTTTTACAGTTTTTCTATACTTAGTAAAATCTTACTAATCTGTTTTACTTCTTGCAGGCTATTCAGCATGCTCAATCATATGTTGTCAAGACCAAGATGACAAGGAAGAAGTTGGCAAGAAAGACCAAGGAAGCTGCCAAACTCCTATCATCACTCAATAATGCCGAGGCTAACAATCGAGCTCTATTGGATCAGGCTGAGGTTGCCAAAGCTGCTGAGAATTTAGCTAAGGAAAAAGCCAAATTGGCTGAAGATAAAGCCGAGGTCACTAGACCCGGTCTTGCGGCTGCCAAGGCCAAGGCAGCTGACTTAGAGGCTAAGCTTCAGGAGGCCCTTGACTCAAAGGAGGCCGAAGTCAATGCGGCCGATGAAAAAACTTTTGAAAAGGGGCAAGCCGCCGTCCGCGACCAATACAAACAGCAAGTTAACCTGGCTTGTAACCGAGGTTACTACCTTGGTTAAACAGCGGCGCTCAACAAGTTATCTGTTCCCATAGACTCTAACCTCAGAGACATCAATCAGCTTCAAGTGTCTTTCCCTCCAGAGCTTGAAGATGATGCCGAGGATGGTGAAGTTGATGAAGTAGATGAGGAGGCTGCCACTGATGCCAAGTCTCCCACCCTCAATGAGCAAATAGACTTGACTCAAGATGAGGAGAATGACTTGATTTCCAAGGGCATCTCTCCCAAACCAACCACATCTGAGGCCGAAGTCCAATGCGCCGAAAAGAGTCTGGATCAGACTTTGCTAGAAATTGGCGCCAAGATAACGGTCGAAAAAAATGCAACACCGCCCGCCGAGGTGGAAAGATATCAGAGATCAATCCTAGTACTTGGGATATTTCATCTTTACTTTGTACTTCTATTTTGTCTGAACAATGTTTAGCTTGCAATTTGGCCGAAGCGCCCTTTTTGTAATTTTGAACAAGTAATCTTTTGCAGGGTGAAGTGCTTTTTTTCTGAATGCAACTCTCCTTATTTCTTTAAGTGTTGAATGTTTGTTTAATGTATGTTTTACTGCTTTCTTTCATGCTTTCATACTTAGAATATTTTTACATTTCTTCAAAGTATACCTTTAACTGTATAATAACTCTGGGGTATAATACCTCGAATACAAACCTTGACTGTTTGCCTTGGCCAACCATCATAATATCTCGGCTAACACTTAAAAATATCAAAATATTTTTACAAGTTTTATTCAGGATTGCTTTTTACTTTCACATGCTATCTTGTATCAAGACTTTTTCCTTCTACCATTTCCTAGCCTGGCAACCTGGTTGGCCAGCTCGGCAATTACGTAGCTCAAATACTTTTTCCAATATAACCTCGGCAAACTTGTAAATTTTTGTAAAATTTCAACAAGCGTTAAGCCCATTCTAACTTGTAAATCTTGTCTAAGTCCCATGCACTTCAAATTTTTAAGCTTATTCATCATTCTCCAGTTCTCTACCCCCTAATGTGAACCTAAGTTTCACTTATGTTCACATTAAGCACATAACAAAGACTAGCCGAGGTTCTCAACCTTGGTTTCTTTGTTAATCTAACTGAACTCCACTTAGTTCCATTCCAAGTTTAATCTTGCTGATATAGAAAGTCTAGTTTCAATTCAACTTAGTTCAACTCTATTATATGCAAGTATTATTCAACTCAACCATATAATAAGTCTAAGTTATTCGTCATGTTTCAATCAGAAATATCGCCAACTTAGTTCAACTCTATTATATACAAGTACAATTCAACTCTGCCATATAATAAGTTTAAGTTATTCGTCATGTTTCAATGAAAAATATCGCCAACTTAGTTCAACTCTATTATATGCAAGTATAATTCAACTCTACCATATAATAAGTCTAAGTTATTCGTCCTGTTTCAATCAGAAATATCGCCAACTTAGTTCAACTCTATTATATACAAGTACAATTCAACTCTGTCATATAATAAGTCTAAGTTATTCGTCATGTTTCAATCAGAAATATCGTCAACTTAGTTCAACTCTATTATATACAAGTACAATTCAACTCTGCCATATAATAAGTCTAAGTTATTTGTCATGTTTCAATTAGAAACATCGCCAACTTAGTTCAACTCTATTATCTGCAAGTATAATTTAACTTTGCCATATAATAAGTCTAAGTTATTCGTCATGTTTCAATCAGAAATATCGCCAACTTAGTTCAACTCTATTATATGCAAGTATAATTCAACTCTGCCATATAATAAGTCTAAGTTATTCGTCCTATTTCAATCAGAAATATCGCCAACTTAGTTCAACTGTATTATATACAAGTACAATTCAACTCTGTCATATAATAAGTCTAAGTTATTCGTCATGTTTCAATTAGAAATATCGCCAACTTAGTTCAACTCTATTATATACAAGCACAATTCAACTCTTCCATATAATAAGTCTAAGTTAGTCGTCCTGTTTCAATCAGAAACATCGCCAACTTAGTTCAACTTTATTATCTGCAAGTATAATTCAACTCTGCCATATAATAAGTCTAAGTTATTCGTCATGTTTCAATCAGAAACATCGCCAACTTAGTTCAACTCTATTATATACAAGTATAATTCAACTCTGCTATATAATAAGCCTAAGTTATTCGTCATGTTTCAATCAGAAAACATCGCCATAGGACTAGTTAGTTCAATCACACAAATTTCAAATTAAAAAAATCAGGCTGAAATTTTATTACTACCTCAGCTAATAAAATTATGACATAAACTTTAAAAAACAAAGAGTCTAATGATAGAAAAACTTCAAGTTGCAAGTATTCCAGGGTCTTGGCAACTCTTTGCCTTCACTGTCCTCAAGCCAATATGTCCAATTGCCGGCGACCGTGATGATTTTATAAGGCCCCTCCTAATTTGGGCCCAGCTTGCCCTCCCTAGGATTCTTCTTGTTGCTAACCACTTTCCTTAGCACCAAGTCCCCAACTTTGAACTCTCTTAGGTTGACCTTCTTGTTATAAGCCCTAGCAAGTTGTTGCTGGTATGCCTTCAACCGAATTGCTGCTCTCTCCCTTTTCTCCTCAAGTAGGTCTAGATCTCGTACCGAGAATGCCTCGTTAGTCCCATTCTCTACTCCTTAGGTTCTGATCCCTGAGATGCCGACTTCCAATGGGATTACTGCTTCTGTGTCGTAGGCCATGACATATGAGGATTCCCTAGTTGATCTTCTCGGCGTAGTCCGATATGCCCAAAGTACATTGGGCAATTTTTTCATCTATTTCCCTTTTGCTACCTCCAGCCTATTTTTGATCCCATCCAAGATAGTCTTATTGGATGCTTCTGCCTGACCATTGCTCTAAGGGAAACTTAGAGTAGAGTAGTAGTTCTTGATTTTGTACTTTGCACAGAAGCTCTTGATTAGCTTACTGTCAAATTGTGTACCATTGTCTGCTATTATTGCCCTTGGGATCCCAAACCTGGTGATGATGTTTTTTCATATGAAGTTCTTTACATCAATATCCCAAATCTTCGCAAAGGGTTCAACTTCTACCCACTTTGTGAAATAATCAGTTGCTACTAGCAGAAACTTCCCTTGCTCAATTGCTTGGGGCAGTTGTCCAACAAGATCCATGCCCCACTGGGCAAATGGCCAAGGACTGGATACTGGGTTCAAATTTGCTACTGGTTGATGTATCAAGGGTGCAAACCTTTAACACTTCTCACACTTCCTAACGTAGGCTTCAGCATCCTTCTGCATGTATGGCCACCAATATCCCTGAGTAATGGTCCTATAAGCAAGTGATCTGCCCTCAGCATGGGTGCCACATACTCCTTCATGTATTTCATACAAGAAGTCTTCAACTTGAGAGGTATGCACACATCTCAAAAAGGGACTAGTAAAAGACCTACTGTGGAGATGTCCTTCTGCTGTTAAGTTAAACCTTGCCGACTTCAGTTTGGTCTTATACGCCTCTTTGCGATCATCTGGCAGCTTTCCATCTCTAAAGAACATTACTATTGTGTCCATCCAACTTGGACCCATCTCCACACACATTGCCTCATACTCTGTGATAAGTGGTTCCACACTTAAGCCTGACAGATAATCAACCATTATTGTCCTTGCCTCCCCTGATTTTATTGCACTAGCCAGGTTAACCAAGGTGTCGGCATGGCTGTTGTCATCTCGGCTAACCTGCTGTAGTTGGCAATCCTGAAACAAGGCTAACAGTCTGACAATTTCTTTTACATAGACTATCATTCTTTCATCTCGGGCTGCATACTCGCCTGTTGCCTGGTTCACAATAAGCTGGAAGTCGCAGAAGAGTATCACCTCGTCGGCTTCCATTGCTGCTGCCAACCTCAATCCTGCGATCAGTGCTTCATATTCTACTTCATTGTTTGAGGCTTTAAACCCCAATTGAATAGATTGTTCTAATATCCGCCAATCTGGCGATATTAGTACTACTCCTGCCCTCCTTCCTTGACGGTTTGAACTCTTATCAACAAATAGGCGAAATGAGTCGTCGATGTAAATGTCGCAGGGCTTGAGTTTTTTTTTTCTTTCTTTTGATCTACTGTAACGTTTTTCATTCCCAATTGGATCTCTTCTTGTTCCCCTAGACACCCTAAGCCACGGCTTATTGGAGCTCGACGTGGGTTGGCTCCAAGTGTGAACTCGGCCACAAAGTCAACCAAAACTTGGCCCATAATTGCTATTCTGGGCCTAAATTCTAGGTCGTACTAGCCCAATACTATTGCCCATCTGGTTACCCTGCCTGTCAGATCTCCTTATTGTAGCAGAGACTTCAAGCAGTGCTCAGTTAATACCACAATCTTGTGGGCTTGGAAATAATAGTTCAACTTCTTGGAGGTCATCATTAAAGACAATGTCAATTTCTCCTGGGGTAAATACCTGGTCTCTGCACCTACAAGGGTTTTACTCACATAGTATACTGCCATTTGTTCTCCCTTCTCCTCTCTAATTACCACTGCACTCACTGCATGCTCTAAAACCGCCAAGTATAAGAATAGTTCCTCTTCAAGTATTGGATTTGAGAGAATTGGAGCTGTGGTAAGGTACCTTTTCAAGTCGGCCAAGGCGACTTCACATTCCTCTGTCCACAAGAAATCTGTGGCCTTTTTCAACAGACTAAAAAACAGTTTATACTTATCTGAACTTCTACTTATAAATTTGTTTTACCGACGTTGGGCTTTTCAAATCTAGGATGGCTTTAATTTGATCTGAGTTTACCTCAATGCCCCTTTCGGTAACCACGTATTCCAAGAACTTACCAGATCCAACTCCAAATGCACATTTTGAAGCATTGAGTCGGAGTCGATATGTTCTAAGGATGCCGAAAACTATCTTCAAATCGGCCAGATGATCCTTAGGTTCTTTGGTCTTCACGACCATGTCATCAATATATACTTCCACTATTTTGCCAATTAGATGTCTGAACATCTTGGTCACTAACCTCTGGTACGTTGCTTCTGCATTTTTCAACCCGAAAGGCATCACTTTGTAGCAATACAACCCTTTTTGGGTGATAAATGCAGTCTTCTCCTCATCAGAGGGTACATTGCTATCTAATGGTACCCCCTGTAAACGTCCAGGAAGCTCATCCTTCTATGTTTTGAAGTGGCATCCACTAATTAATCAATCTTGGAAAGTGGGAAACTGTCTTTGGGACAAGCCTTATTCAGGCTAGTGAAGTCCACGCAAACCCTTCATTTCTCATTCCTCTTTTTCACAACGATGGTGTTAAACAACCAAGTAGGGTAGTTTACCTCTCAGATGCTTTGGCCTCTAACAATTTGTCCACTCCCTTCTCTACTGCCTCCACATGAACTAACGTCGGCCTCCTCGCTCATTGAATGACGGGTTCAGCTGACCTTTCTACATTTAGTCTGTAACCTCAAGGTCAATGCCAGGCATCTCATATGGCGTCTAGGCAAACACCTCTATGTTTGCTCGCAAGAATGCTTCTAACTCCCTTTCCTC